TAATTTTTGAAATTCCCGTGATTTTTTTCGTACTTTTATAATTTTCCTAATTTTTTTCAAATTTAATTTTCGCAATTTACCCATGATTTTTGCAGTTCTACATAATTTTTGAAATTCCCGTGATTTTTGTAATCCTCGTGATTTTTGTAATTTTTTCGTAATTTCCGTAATTTGCCAATGATTTTTGCAATTTCACGTAGTTTTTGAAATTCCCGTAATTTTTTAAAATAATTTCCATTACATAAGTATTTCCATTCCCGATTTTTTTCGTAGTTTTGCAATTCTCATTTTAATTTTTCAATAATTGTAAGTACTATAATTTTTTCAAAATTTCATGATATTTGCAATTTTAATGATTTTTGTTATTTTTTTGTAGTTTCCCGTATTTTATGTAATTTTTCAATTATTTTTGTAATTATTCATAATTTTTGAATTTCCAGTATTTTTAAAAAAAAATTATTTTCATTGCTTTTGTAATACCCGATTTATTTGTAATTTTTTAATTTTCCTCTTAGTTTTTTAATAATTAATGTATTTCCCGTGATTTTTGCAATTTTTCGCGATTCCTGTAATTTTTGAAATTTCTATAATTTTTCAATTTATTTTTATTAATTCTATATTTTCCGTATTCATGTATTTTCCGTAATTTTTTAATGGAATTTTTTTAATTTTCCTAATTTTTTGAGGAATCTTCGCAAATTCGGTAATTTTTTGATTTTTTCGTAGTTTCTAATATTTCTCAATTTTTGTAATTCTTTAATAAATTATTTTCGTAATTTTTTAATTCTTTTAATTTTTATAATTCTCATAATTTTTTAAAAATCTAGTAACTTTTTGTAGTTTTGAAATTTTTGTAATTTCTGCTAATTTTAATTTTTGTAATTTTCGTAAAATTTTCCGAAATTTTTGCAATTCCTATATTTTTTAAATTATCAATTCAAAACTATAGGAATTATATACATAATTTAGAATTTTAAAAAATATTCTGAAATTACGGAAATTATTCGAATATTACAGAAATTACGAAAAATAACGGAAATTACAAAAAAATAAAGGAGTTACAGGAATTATTCCAAAAATGCAGGAATTACTCGAAATTATTCAAAATTACAGGAATTATTTGTAAATTACGGAAATTTTCTCAATATTACAGAAAATTACAGAATCTACGGAAAATGTAAATTATGAAAAATTACGTGGATAACGAAAAATAACGAGAATTATGGACATTACAAAAGACTATGAAAATTACAGAAATTATTGCAAAAATTTTCAAATTTTCAAATCACTGCATAAAAAATTCTGGAATAGTATATTGTGTATTTAGGTGGAAAAGTGACACATTCTCGGCCGACGGTGTAAGTTGGCAAACACCGAAGGCCGAGAATGTGCTTTTCCACCGAAATACACATACTATTTTTTCTGCGATCGGTTAAATACCTGTTAAATGTTTGTCTTTTAGTTCCAATTATTCAGCAATACGAGAATCACTTTCCCGACCTAGGCCGGAAAAGTGTTTCCCGTATTGTTATTCATTCATTGATTCCTTAGCAACTATTGAAACATAATTGAAATACCAGAATATTGAGTTTTGCGACCTGTCAACCGGTCAAAAATCCTGACATTTCTTGTCATTCGCAGAAAAAATTGATTTATTTAAGCAAAATTAAGGAAAATTCACCTCTTACATTTTAATTTTTTTCTGCAAAACTGGCAGAGGGAAAATTTTGAAAATTTTTCAAGAAAAGGAGGAAAGTGAGAAGCTCATTATAGGAAAATTTCGAAATTTTTCAGTGAGAAATCACTCTAGGGAAAATTCTGGAAAATTGACTTTTTCAAGTAAAATTCATCATCTCACATTTCAATTATTGTTTCCTGGAAAATTGGCAAAAGAGGAAAAAGAAGAAAGTCAGGAGCTCATTATAAGAAAATTCTAAAATTTTCCAATGGAAAATCGCTCCAGCAAAAATTCTGATTAAATGATTTTTTCAAGTAAAATTAAGAAAAACTCATCCTCTCACATTTTAATTTATTTCTGGAAAACTAATAAAGCAAAACTTGTGAAATTTTTCCAGAAGAAAGAAGAAAATGAGGAGTTCATTATAGGACATTTTCAAAATTTTCTAGTGAAAAATCACTCTAAGGAAAGTCGATAGGAAAGTTCTGGAAAATTGACTTTTTTAAGCAAAATTCATCCTTTCACATTTAATTTTTTTTTTGGAAAACTGCTGAAGGGAAAATTTTGAAAATTTTCCAGGATAAAGCGAAAAGAGAGGAGCTCATTATAAGGAAATTTCGAAATTTTCCAGTGAAACATTACTCCAGGAAAAATTCAAAGAAAATTGACTTATTTAGGCAAAATTAAGGAAAAATTCACCCTCTTACATTTTCATTTTTTTCTGGAAAACTGGCAACATGAAAATGTTGAAATTTTCACAGGAGAAAGAGGAAAGTGAAGAGCTTATTAGAGGAAAATTTCAAAATTTTCCAGTGAGAAATCACTCCAGGATAAATTTATTTATATATTTTCGGATAACTAAATAAACTATTCTAAATTAAAAAATTTATCACAAAACAATAATTCCGAAGGTGCTCCATGAATTAATCTATGACCTGACTTTTTCTTTAAGTTATGACGTCATCGATGACGTACGTAAAAACCTTCATGCCATGCAACGAACTATATGTTTGTTTGAAATTTCAGACATAAAAAAAACATATTTTTCAGAGAAAAAGGCAAATGATGACGTAAGTACAAACCCTCGTGAAACTAACTTTTTTTTACGCGTCACATTTCCTTTCCATCAAACCCCATCAAAAATAAAATAAAAAATGGTGCTGCAGCACCCCTCAAATTTGGAGCCTAGTTGCGCTTATGACTGCTGTTGTTTTGCAACTGTAAGAAATGAAAAATTTTATTAGAAATATACAAAAAAAAAATATTCGAGGTGTTCTTTTAATGAAATTTTGGGTCAAAATTTAGGCGTAACACTTGAAAATTTTGTTTGGGTTTGTTTGGGTTAACTCGATGGGCCATGGGCCTCACCAGTTTGGATTGTCACGAGCCGCCACTGATACAGGGTGTTCCGAAATTAATGCACCAAATTTTTATGGCATATTCTATGTCGAAAATAAGCCCTCTAGTCGAAGATTAAATTTAATTGGAATTTTTAATCATGGATTAAATTCAAGGTTGTTGTCAAATGATAGCTTATGAAAATCTAAGATAGGAATGTGAAATCGGTTTTCCTCTTAAATTAACCGTTTAGGTTTTACAGCCTCTCAAAGTTGCAAAAAAGTCAATTGTCAACTGTCAATATTTCCGAAACAGTTGAATTTAGGTATAGGACATGTTTCATGAAAAATACTTTGAATTTTATCAGAAATCCAAAAATGTGAAAAAAATTAGGGGTGTCTATTTAAAAAAACTAAGTTACCACCTGTCCAGCTTTTCTGCGACCACCCTGTATAATAATTTTATTTTCTAGAAAATGCTCGACAAAAAATAAAATTGACGTGTTCGAGGATTTTTAAAAAAGTTGCTTAGAAAATTAATTATTGAATTTGTTCCTTACTTTACGGCCGCACTGTATGTTTATATGTACCTACAGTGCGGCCGTAAAGTAAGGAATAAATTCAATTCAACTAATCTTCTAAGCAATTTTTCCAAAAATCCTCGAACACGTCAATTTTATTTTTTGTCGAGCATTTTTTAGAAAATAAAATTATTATACAGGATGGTAGCAGAAAAGCTGGACAGGTAGTAACTTAATTTTTTTTAAATAGACACCCCTAATTTTTTATACATTTTCGGATTTCTGATAAAATTCTAAGTATTTTTCATGAAATATGTCCCATACCTAAATTCAATTATTCCGGAAATATTGACAGTTGACAATTGACTTTTTTGCAACTTTGAGAGGCTGTAAAACCTGAAAGGTTAATTTTAAAAATCGATTTTACATTCCTATCTTAGATTTTCATAAAATATCATTTGACATCAACTTTTAATTTAATCGGAGATTAAATTTAATTGGAATTTTTAATCATGGATTAAATTCAAGGTTGGTGTCAAATGATAGCTTATGAAAATCTAAGATAGGAATGTAAAATCGATTTTCCTCTAAAATTAACTGTTCAGGTTTTACAGCCTCTCAAAGTTGCAAAAAAGTCAATTGTTCACTGTCAATATTTCCGAAACAGTTGAATTTAGGTATAGGACATGTTCCATGAAAAATACTTAGAATTTTATCAGAAATCCGAAAAAATTAGGGGTGTCTATTTAAAAAAATTAAGTTACTACCTGTTCAGCTTTTCTGCGACCACCCTGTATAATAATTTTATTGTCTAAAAAATGGTCGAGAAAAAATAAAGTTGACGTGTTCGAAAATTTAAAAAAAAATTGCTTAGAAGAATAATTATTGAATTTATTCCCTACTTTACGGCCGCACTGTATAGGTTACTGGGGTTTATTTTCGATGTGGAATATGCCATAACAATTCGGTGCATTAGTTTCGGAACACCCTGTATAGGGACAAATAGAAAAATTGATACTAACAAAATTTTGAAGCTTTCCTTTGTTTTTTGTGAGTATCAACTTTCATACCAACGGTAACCGCCGAAGGTTGCCATTAGTCTTCACAACTAACAACTTAGATTGATGGAAGATTTGACCGACAACTTGACAAGGTAGAAATGAAACAGGTCTCGGTAGTTCAGTTGGTAGAGCGTTGCACTGGATATGCGAGGGTCCTGGGTTCAAACCCTAGTCGAGGCAAGAAAATTTCTCATCATCAAATAAAGCGTCTGCACAGACACACACAAACACCCACACACACACACCATCACATACACACAACGAGATTGCTAGGGTTGCTCCCAGCGCAGCTAGGAAGGTAAAAAGGAAAGTGAATGGTGTATTATATTTCGCACCAGTCTGTCAAACTTGTTAACATTTGTCAAGAAATTTAAACATTTATTTTAATCTCAAAACAGCAAAAATGGACCCTAGTCCCCAAATACCAACAATAACAACCGTAAACGACTATAACACAATCTGTTTAATACGAAAGAGTTTTGGAGATAAAGGAGAATCATTTCCGGAAGACATATCTAACAATTTGAGAATTTACACGGCAAAAGACCCTTTGGGTTTAAGACCAACTGCCGATAATGTTTTTGCCATTTACCAATACCTCGGAGAAGAGAATGAAATTTTAAATAACATAGAATTGGATACTATAAGGCAGCACGGAGATTTTCTTTATTCCAAAAGTACCATGCTAAAAGACAAAAGCGAGTTTATGAGGGAAATGATAAAATTACGATCTTGTGACATATTTTCGAGAATATACTATCCCGATAAATTGAGATATGGACTCATTGAAAAGTGTGATCTTTATCCAGATGATTTAAGACAATTTTTGGACTTCCGTTTTAATAGTAGTTTCCATGAATGCGAGAAATGTTTCTCAACAAAACAATTTAAAGGCAGAGCTCCTCAAATTAAACAACTAAATTCTTTTGTTCATAAAACTCAAAAGAAAAATGCTTTTGGATTAATATTTGAACCATCGAAAATTATATTCAAGAATTTTGAGCAAAATCAACAATATAAACAAACTGTGAAAATTAAAAATACAAGTGCAACAATGCAAAAAGTGAGTGTTAAAACTTATCCAAAATCACCAGTTTTCAAGATACTGATTGATGAATCCCAAAGAATCGCGCCCGGTATGTATACATCTTTCACCATTAAATTTACACCACAATTTTCAACATATCTCAAAGATAAGGTCTTATTTGTTAGCAGAAAGGGCGAAATAATAGAACTGACAATAAAATGTTACAAAGAACCACCCAAACTTTGGGCTTACATTAATAAATCATCAAGCTTTCCTATCAATGAAAATATTCGCGGGTCAAGACCCTTTTCAATGCAAAGACAATTAGCAATCAACGACACCATAGATTGTGGCACCTGCTTTGCCACTGACTATACTTTGATATCATTAATTTTGCTCAATAGAGGCAACAAAGCTAAATTTTTCTGGCTATCGGAAGAAGATTTTTATTTTCAAGACATCAATACTCTATCCAACAATAATGAATATTATAAAGATTGCTTTTGGATTTATCCCACATATTTTGAAATGTTTCCTAATGAAATTTGTGAAATAAATATTATATTTCAGCCTTTATATTGTGGCGTTTACACGGAAACATTATACCTTATGTGTGATAACAACTTGTATACTCAAGTGGAGTTGGTAGGGGATGCAGTTTGTTTCAACAAAAACTTGATAGGTGTCAAAATTCCTTGTTATGTGGATGAACTCGAAAAGAAAGATGGTCATTGTATTTTTATGGGACATCTCGTGTATGATGAAATATCACAATTCACTTTATCTATTTTAAACAAAAGTGCAATGTTTTTGAAATTTGAACTAAGGCTGGATATTAAAGATGAAAAATTTTCTATGTATGAGTGGTTTAAAATTTCAAATGAGCCTCCCAGTCATTTGACTCCGTATAGCGCTACAGACATACTATTTGAAGCACATTCTCCTTCCGACATATTGCAGGGATACTATAATGCGAAACTAAGAATATTTATAAATAATATTCCTATAGCAAGTCTAGAAGCTAACGAAATCTTTCTGGTAAACACTCATAAGCAAGAACTAAAAAGTATAGCAGAAAATGTACAAAAAGTTGACGTTCTAATAGCCGAAATGGAAATTGCTTGTTGCATCAATTCTATAGGCAAACCAAATATTGAAGAATCCTTAATCGAGTGCGAAAAATGCGGTAAAGTAAACTGTTTATGTGAAGCATGCAAGGAAAATTTAATAATGGCGGATTTGGAATTCAACCAACCATTAATGGAATTTGGTATACTACCAATCGGAACTGATATTGAAAAGGACTTTTTTATAATCAACAGAGGAGAGAAAGATGCTAATTGGACTATGATCGAACTAAAGTACAACCTAGATTACCCCCCACACGTGGAAATACTTAAAGAAAAAAACTTATCATGCACTAATGGTACTTTACAGCCACATAAGAAACAGCGCTTGAACTACACTATCATTAAAAAAAACCCAGCCAGATATGTCTCGATACTTGTCCTTTGTTTAGTTCAAGATAATGTTCCAACCATTAACAACCCAAGCAAATGGAACTTTATAGCACAAGATATCTGTGTCATCACTTATGAAGTAATTCACATGGATATAGCCTTTAAAACTCAGTCAAAACAGGCCATTTTATGTCCCTTGCAATTACTTTATACTGAAGTCCCAACAGAAGTATCTTTTAGATTAAAAAATTACAGCCTGATTCCTGGATGTTTCTACTTTTTAAAACCTATCGGACAAGATGCGAATAAAATATCCATAGAATACCTACCAGAATTAGGTGAACTTAAGGCAAACGGTTCGAAGAAAATAGCCCTCAGGCTCACTTGCAAGGAAGTTGGAATATTGGAAGACATTTTTATACCTTGTTTTATCGGAAAAAATCAAGAACCGATTCGTTTAAGACTGCTTTGTGTTGTTGACTGTGTTCATGTGTTTTTTTATTTGCCATCAAAAAACAATGAGTATCAAAAAATCCTTTGGCCACCTAAAATGGTTTACGAACACGACATGACATGGAGTGATCATTGCTTTTGTGAAGAATCCTCCTCGGTACCATTAAAGATAATTCAAAGTGATAGTGAAATGAAACTTGAAGAACAAAGTAATGATACTCTTAAAAACATCAGTAGATCTAGTATAAACACTGATACAGATGACATATTGGAAACATTAGAGAGTGTAGATTCTGATATATTCTTGCAAGATTACGTCATGGAAGTGAAAGGGGTGAAAACAAAAGAACCAAGAAAGTTTACAATTTTTTTCGAAAATGTTACAAAAAAATCAGCAAAATATTCAGTACAAACCACCAACTATTTGGCAAAAGAATGGAAGAATTGTCCTGGGCCCAAACATATAAAAGCCGAAGATTTTTGGGAACCAATGATTGACCACAGCGGTATTGTTATCCAACCAGAAACAGAATCAAGTTACATGAAAGCAAATGAGTTGGTGACAGTTGATATATGGATATATGCAAAAACATGGGGCATTTATGTAGATGAAATTATCATCGACATTAAAGATATAATACCCTTCAGTTTTTCCTTAATCATTGAAGTCACTGGATGCCCTTTAGAACTTCCATTCGGGATTGGAGCTATTACACAGTATCCTACAATACGATTTGGTTCAGTTACATCCGCTTCTGAAGATATATTGAGAGAAGTTATTCTTAAAAATGTTTCATCAGTTGATGTGTCAATATCTTGGCATATATATCATTACCCTAACGGAGAAGAATTTAACTGCAATACTCCATTCAATTTCGTTTTAGACATGACACCAAAAGAAGACTTTTTCAAATTGAGTTTCACTGATCGATTTTTTGGAATCGAAGCAATTCAGTTTATTGAAGTTCAACCGAGTAAATTGGAAATCACCTCAGATAATCAAACTAAACTACTAATTGTTTTCAAACCAAAACTTGTCAGAACCACAGGAAATCCTATAAAATGTTTTATATTGGGTCAAATTTTTACTAATGACATAGATACAATCAAGTCCAGTTACTTTTATAGAAAACCATCTACAGTAATTATAGAAGTGACAGCAACCGTTGAGGAACCACGCTTGTTGGTTGAAATAGAAGATAATTTATTGAGTGTGTTTGCTAATGACGTTGTTTTTGGAACACAAAAAGATTTTTCTATAAAATGTATCATAAGAAATCCAACATTGTCGCAGATAACGGCGAAAATCGATGCCTCAGATACGTTTTTTTGTGAAAATGATATTGAGCTAGGACCGAGACAATGCAAAGAAATTCGTTTGACTTGTAATTTGACTTACGAAAAAATTCTTAGATGGGCTAATATAGTTTATGAATCTGAAAAAGAAATACATCCGAGCCAAAATCAATCCACAGAAGTCATCAATTTAGGACTTATGAGTGATCCCTTCCTACCTAAAGCCAGCATATCAGATGCTCAAGTTGTAGACAAAGTCAACAAAATATTAACGTTCCATAAAAAAATCTATATTTCTTATCCGCATGGGAATACGGAAACAATGCCAATTAAACTGATGCTAAATTATCCAAATATATCTGTAAAACCTTTACACATAAAGTTTGGATACATTTTAGTAGGTAATACACAGAAAACGACAATAATAATATCCAATTTGACTGCATGCCCTGTTAAATTTGAGATCTTCAAGTCTTGTTGTACTCACGAACTCGTGGTTACACCATCTTTTGGTGAAATTGGAAAGAGCACTGGAACAAATAAAAGCTTTCAACATGTGACAGTTTATTTTACGCCTACACAATGTAAAATGTTTCACGAAAGTATCCGAATAGCGACGAATATTCCCCAATATTTTGTGGATATTTCTGTTAAAGGTGCTGCTTCGTTTAATGAGAAGTTTGATATACAATAAAATTATTTTAATATAAGTATCTATTACACGAGAATGTTTAGTTTCTTTTAGCTGTTTCATATTTCTTCCAAGAATTCACTCTGTGTCTTTAATTTCTACTATTGGTTCTCTTTCTTCTTGTATCAAGCATTTTCTATGCATTCATATCTCTACATTTTCTACATCCATTGATGAAGTTTTTGGACGCCACTTGTTCTTGTATTTATATCTGCTGTAGGCCCAATTGACCAGAAGGCTCATATCGATTTTAAATTCTTGTAAACTTTTCAAACCTTAATAATTCACACGAGACGACATAATATTTTTATATCAAATTGATACATCTTCCAATATCCAGTTGTTAGTAATTGTAGTGCAGTTAATTAGCATAAAATAGGGATCCACCTACCAATTTTGAGGTAAAAGCTGAAAATTGGTATACACCTTCATTTTGACGTTCTAATAGTTGTTCCAAAAGTCACATTAAATGTAGCCAAGGCTTCTTTAGTTATTGCAGCTCAAATGTCACAGAAATCGGTTTTTTCGGTTCCTGTAGCTCCAACGATATTAACACCTATTAGAAAAGTTAGAGATAGTAAAATTCCTAAGCACTTTTGTTTGAAACTTTTCTTTATAAACTGAACCATTCTTGAGATAGAGCGAACAGTGGTAAGCCCTATGCTCCAGATTTTGACCTATAAATTAAAGGGACCTAATGGTGAATTTTTGCGTAGACGTTGTTGTTATTGGTCTAAATAATTGGTGAAAGTTTCCCATCGATTCGGTGATTATTTCGGCCGTTACGGAGGGTTAAAGGTCAAGAATGCGTTTATCAATATTTCGAAAACGATCAACTTTTTTGAAAATTTCTTCTTGAAAAAGTTATGGATCATTGAATTTGCTCCAAATTTGGTCTTAGGTACTTTTAGGTGAACTTTAAGAATGGCCAAATGAAGGTGTGTACGAGTCTAACGCTTGTTTCCCCCCATTTCGACAATGGCCCCTCATCTTTGTTTAAATTTTGCACTGTATCTCAAGAAGGACTGATTGTAGAGCAATATACCTAAGAACAAATTTGGAGCAAATTTAATGATCTATAACTTTTTTAAGAAGAAATGTTTAAAAAAGTTGACCGTTTTCGAGATATTGATAAACGCATTCCTGACCTTTGATCCTCCGTAACGTCCCAAATAATCACCAAATTGATGGAAAATTTTCACGAATTATTTAGACCCATAACAACAACGTGTATGCAAAAATTCACCGTTAGGTCCCTTCAATTTATTGGTCAAAATCTGGAGCATAAGGCTTACCACTCTTCGCGCTCTATCCCAAGAACGGTTCATTTTAAGGCGCGTTTCCACTGAAAAGTTGGCAACTTCTATGTTGGCAACTCTTTCGAAAGTCACCAACTTTTCTTTTCATGGTTGTCCACACTGATTAGAATAAAGTCGTCAACATTTTAAGAAACATTTCAGTTGACAACTAGTTGTCTCCACTGATTATTCTATATTGATAAAATGCCGTCGATTGATGTCGATTTATAACTATATATATTTCCAACTGACCAACTAGCGACCATCCACACAAATCCATTATGTTGGCAACACGCGTATCCCTTTGATGTTTATCGCCATAAACGGAAACACGGTTCTCGATATTTGTTTACGATTTTGGTTAACGACATGGGAAAATTTCAGAAACTTTTGTCACCAACACGTGTTGGCAACACAAAAGTTGCCAATTTTCATTTGGTAAAGACGCGCCTTATAAAAAAAAAGTCGCGTGCAGCACAGTACAGGGTGAGTCGCCATATTTTGACACCTACCTGCAGCCGTAATTACAGGTGATAAGTAAAAAGTGTAAATACAAAAGTTGTAGCATTTTATCTGAACCGCCAGAATTTTTAATAGGATTGAACAAATGATCAACGCAAAGTGAAAAAAGATGTTGATGTTCACTTTTTTTAAATGGAATGCCCTTTATTTTCTTCCAAATTCTTAAAGTTATCAAAGACAGTAGTTTTTTGAATATATTTTACCTTGATTTACCTGTCACCTGTTCACAAAACATTCTGATACGTGAATAGGTCTTTGAATAACTAAACTCCAGATATTTCGAAAACTATTGAAAGAAACATTTACATATCATATAATCTGAATCAGAAAAACGAGAACTTCAAGAATTTGAAAAAAATAAAGTGCATTCCATTTAAGAAAAGTGGACATTGGCATATTTTTTTATTTTGTGTTGCTCATTTTTTCAATCTTCAAAATTCTGGTGGTTCAGATAAAATGCTACAACTTTTGTATTTACACCTTTCACCTATCACCTGTAATTACGGCTGCAGGTGGGTGTCAAAATATAGTGACTCACCCTGTAGACGTGATAGAAGTGAATACTTATTTATCGATCTCTTTCTCTCTCTCTCTCTCTCCCTCATATTCATCATATGCTTCATCTCACTTGCGAGACGAAAATTTTATAAATCGTGTCGTGACGCGACCTTGAAAAATCACTCTCATGCGGCCAAAGAAGTATTCACTTCAAAAAGTTTCAAACAAAAGTGCTCAGGAATTTTATTATCTCTAACTTTTGTAATAAATGATTATATCGTTGGAGCAATAATAGGAACCGAGATAAACGCAAAAAAACGATTTCTGTGACCTTTGACCGGCAATAACTTAAGAAGTCTTGGCCACATTTATTGTGATTTTCGGAACAACTAGTAGAACGTCAAAATGAAGCTGTAAACCAGTTTTCAGCTCCTTACCAATACCTCAAAATTGGTAGGGGAAACCACAACGTGACTGGAACGTGAACATTTGACACGAACGAACAGAACGAGCTGAATCCAAAGAACGAACACATCGAGCAAAAGTTCGGTTTGTTTGGCATTTTCGACGTATCGCTGTGTTCCCAGTTCAGCCATTTTTCTATTAGATATCGACTCTGCAGTGAGTTGTTAATATTTGCACAGTACAAATCGACGCCGACAAGTTTTGACGAACACCAAAAAAATGCGCGAATCCCGTCAAAACTTATAATCTGGGACTTTATTCTCGAAACCGAGGAACAGCGTTTTCTTGAGGACGATTGCTCTGTCATTGTCAGTGGAAATATGAATACCGACGACGAAGACAGAACCTTCGTTCTCATGAGAACGCTGCTCCCCCTGCTTCGAGAATAAAGTCCCTGGCGAACAATTATTTATTTTGAGCAATTCCATGTACTTTGCCAACAAATCTCGAAAAACGTTCGTTGCTCGGTTCGTTGTGTTCTTACTAGTTTCGTTCGGCTCGGAAATCCGTACAAAACTTCGTAAGCTATCCTTTCTGGTAGCTAGTACAACCGACGATGAACGTGGACTATTAATTTCTTGCATTTTGTTGTTCTCAGTTGGTTCTTCTAATTGTTTTTCTAGTTGGGCCTTTACGATCGTTTGACTATAAGGGTGAACGCGCACTAGCGATCTGTTGTCGGGTGATAATTTTGCCGCATCGCCCATAAAATAGGCCTGGTTCTATAATTTATCAGCAGCGATAATTGTATTGCAGAATGCGTGCATGTTCGTTAAAATAATTTTAGCGACTAAACTGTCGCGCGACAATAAATAGGTAGTGCGCGCTTGCCCTTACTGTAAACTTTGCCCTTACCTAGAATTCGTGTATCTTCATAGATCCGCGTTACCTTGACAGTTCTAATTTAAAGGTAACGAGAAAAGTATTTCTTCATCGCCCAATCCCAGCATTCTATTTCTCAACTTTACAAATAGGAAATCGAAGCTTTCTAGGACATTCAGACCTAATATAATCTCATCTACTATGTCATCATTAGGATCATCATCATCATTGAGCGAGACAAACCTGGGTGGGTTTTGGTTGTTGGATTTATCGTGAATCTTTTCAAAATTTTCGCCTTCAGCATATTCAAACATTTCTATGTCGTATGACTTGTTGTCGTTTTTTCTGTTTGTCATCAAGTCGCTGTTTTCTCGTTCTTACAAAATTTTCTGGATACGGTCCTCGTCCTGTTCATGTTTTTTTTTTCTGTCGTCTGGCTTCTTCTTCTCATTCATGGTTCATTCCTCCCATTTTGATGGACTGCTGTCTCGTTTAGCCAAACATTTCTTCATCCACTTATCCTCCTAATGTCATCCATTATTGTTACGTAAGAAAACTCGTACAGAGAAGTAAAGCTAATCTCCCAAAATTAATTTACCTTTACTTAATACAATCACCCAAAAATCACGATAAAATTAGCACTATTACAACATTTCGTTTTAACTATACAATCTACCGAGCAATCTACATACATACAGGGTGAGTTACTAAGTGACACCAACTTTGAATTTAACTGGAGATTAATAATTTAAGAGGAATTTTTAATTATGGATTAAATTCAAAGTTGGTGTCAAATAATAGTTTATAAAAAACTAAGATAAGAATGTATGATCGGTTTTGCTGTAAAATTAACCGTTCAGGTTTAGCAGTCTGTCAAAGATGCAAAAAAGTCAGTCGAAACAGTTGAAGATAGGTATATGACATTGTACATGAACTATGTGTAGAATTTGCCGCAAAATCCAGAAATGTCACAATATACAGGGGGTGTCATTTAAAAAAACGTAAGTTTGTGTTACCACTGCTTATTGGGCCACCCTGTATACTGGAAAATAATTTACAAATGTAGTACTCGTGCTTATCTACAAGTTTTGTATTTAGTTTTTTCTTCGATCTCCGTTAGTATAGGAGATATGGACCACTGCGCGCTTAGTAACTCACCCTCTATATACTTGATTGTATAGTCATATCTCAAAAACAAATCAGAACTCAATGTCTAGATAATTTACATTCCGTTAGTTTTGCTGGATTATTGCGCGTTAAAATTTCATTCGTGAATTTTCTGTTTTTCATGCAGTGGTTCAAAATTGTGCAGAAATTGTCCAGCTTGAGAGATTTTCATAAATTATTTGAATTTTTCATACTAGTCATTCACTCATTTCAAAATACCGAAAAATGAAATATGCGAATTAAACATCGTCGGTGGATTTGTGCCAATTCTGATTACGCGCTAATAAATCTGATTTTTCGGAATTACTTGAACATTCAACTAATCAGAGTAACTACAGATTCACAAAGATAACAAAGAACTACTGTAAAATATTTTCAACAACTCTAAATAACAACGATTTCACATTCGTCTAGTATTTTCTCTAAGTCTTTTTATTTTTACCAGCAGAATTACATATTCAAAAATATAAAGCTGGATTTATACAGGAAATAAAATAAAATAAAATAAGAAATGACATAGGGAATAAGAAAAATAAGAAATAAGGCGTTTATACAGAAAAATACACGACGACGAAGGCGGAGTGTCCCATCCCTTTGAACAAAATAAAATCACTTTTAGCACGAATATCATACACTATTTTTTCTACAAACGTACTAAAAGTGATTACTTTTAGCACTCAGTGCTAAAAGTAATCACTTTTAACACCAGTGTCATAAAATGGCATTTTAGACACTGACAGCATCCGTTAAAAATGACACTTTTAGTGACGTTTGTAGAAAAAACTTTTTTTCTGCAAACGTGAAAAAATCTTCACATTGTTAACACCTGTCAGGATGTGAGAGATTTAATTTCTATGCTGCTAGGTAACCATAGCGGCAGTAGAAGTACTTTTAGTGCCGGTAAACCATTCAGTTACCCCCAAGCTTACCCTATTCGTTTGGAGAAAAAATAGCATGTTGCATACGGAGTAGAAGCACTTTTTTGTGCTTCAGCAGTATTCCAAGTCTCACTACGTTCGGCTTGCGAACCTACTGCTTCAGCACAAAAGAGTAAAGCTTCTACTCCTAATACAACAATATACTATTATTTTTGCTTATTTTTTATCTCACTTAATTTTTTTGTATAAACGCCACCCATAATGGCGAGTTTATAAAAAAAATTAACACCTAAACTAATTTAAGAAAATTAACTTACAACTAAGAAGTTCAACATGCGCTTATGTAATTCTTATTTCTTAGTTGATAAGTCTTAATTTTTTTTTTATGAACCGCTACATTACATATCATAACGTCAACTATTTAAGTTGAATGTTAATTCTTAGTTTGAGTGTTATTTTTTTTTTTTATAAACTCGCCATAAGGCAATCTTTAAATTTTATTTTATTTCTTATTTTATGTTATTTTATTTCCTGTATAAACCCAGCTTAAGATAAATAATTATTCTTAATAACTTACCATACATCAACCAGGGCTCCATCTCTCCAGGTTTCAAGTAAGAGTCGTCTTCCCAAAGTGCCGCAGGCGTCTCCAGTAACAACTCGGGATCCGGTTTTTGCAGCCTTATGTAGTTGATCAATTTAATATAGGAATAGCAATCCATGTTGAATTTATTTTTCAACGCTAGCAAATCGAAATTATGAACCGCGCGACAATGATCCAGAGCCACCGCAATGGTATGAAAGTGCAATGAACAGAACAAGCAAGTTGTTTGTTCGCCGCCGGGTTCCATTTCGTCCCATCCGTCAGAGTCTTCGTCTTCGGACCGTGGAGATACATCTGGCAGAGCTAAAAAAAAATTCACATAAAAAAAATAATCAGATACCCATCTAGAAAATTAACGGTGAAGTTTATACCAATTGGTCAACTGAAAGCTACTTATGGGGTGATTCAAGAGTTAGTAGAGCGTATTGAAGTCCTAAAAAATGGAATAATGTTACAATAATAATATAACTTTCAAATATAGTTGGCATTCACATGGTGGAAATACATTTCTAACAAAAGACAGAGTATGTCGTTCGTTATAGCTTGTATTTTCCACAAATTAATTTTAATTTTAATGGGCAGTTCAACTTCAACTTCTGACAAAGCTACAGTGTTAGCGAAACATGAATCAGAATCAGAATATCTTTATTTTTTAAAAAACATACAAAAGAGAATATAAAAAACATCAATTGTTGTTTAACTAAATAGTGTCAAAATATATACCTAAAGTTAAATTTAAATTTGAGTTTTACAACGATAAGTAGGTATTCTCCAAATAAAAGAGTTAAAAAAAAAAAAAAAAAACTCCAGATTATAATTTGAATATTTGTAAAGTAAATTGTGCTTACAGTCAAACAGTAAAAAACTCGGTAAAAAATAAGTCATTAGTACATACAGGGTCATTTTTTATATTTTTCCACCCCCCTTAACTTTTTTGTGCCACTGTGTATAAAAAAAAATTAAATAGGAAAGTTGTAGTGCTTGAGAAATAGTTCTCGGAAAACATAGTTTTGTTCATACAGGCTGTTGCAAAAGTTTAAAAAACAAAAAAATATACTTTTTTTAAATAGGACACCCTGTATATTATGACATGTCTGGATTCTGCGGAAAATTCTAGACATATTCCATAAATAATGTCATATACCTATCTTGAACTGTTTCGGAAATAATGACAGTAGAAAATTGACTTTTGTGCAACTTTGATAGGTTGTAAAACCTAAACTGTTAATTTTACAGCAAAACCGATTTTACATTCTTGTCGAATACAGTGTGTCCCATTTGAAAAAATATATTTTTTTGTTTTTTAAACTTTTTGCAACACCCTGTATGAACAAAACTATGTTTTCTGAGAACTATTTTTCAAGCACTACAGCTTTCCTATTTAAATTTTTTTTATACACAGTGGCACAAAGAAGTTAAGGGGGGTGGGAAAATATAAAAAATGACCCTGTACATAGTTAAAAAGAACAGAACAGTTAAAAAAGACAAGACAGGTACTTTGTATAAAATAAAAAAAAGAAAGACAATTTTACAGTTTAAAATATAAAATACATATCACAAAAAGTTATCACAAGTCTGGCCAACAGTTGAAAGGAACAAAATATTTACCACTAGAGAGGAACAAAATAGTTATCAGTTATTACTAGGTAGGTAGGTACATCTTAATTTAGAAATTCATCAATCGTGTAAGGCTTTATTGAAACAAGATGCTGAAATAAAAGTTTTTTAAAACAGTTTTCTGTTATTTTCAATTTTAATTTTTGGGGAAGAAAGTTGAAAAGTTTTATACACATGTAGGTGGGTCCAGTCCAGTCTCAGTGAGAGCGAGCCTGTGCACTGGATAGTTTAAGACAATTGACCTGGTGTTATGTTTGTGTTCTGGGAGATAGTTGAGAAACTTATCAAAGCTTCTATGTAGGAACATAAGACATTCATAGATATAGATACCTGGTAGTGTAAGAATGTTTGTTTCTTTGAATTGTCCTCGGCAAGAGTCTCTGTAGGACAAGTTAAGAATTTGTCTCAGTACACATTTTTGCATAACAAACGCATCTCCTTCGCATCCTGCTCTACCCCAGAATATTACTCCATAGCGTTCAAAAGAATAGAAAGTGGCATAGTAGACAGATAATAGCGATTTTCTGTCTAGGAATTGTTTTAGAACACGGAAAGAATAGCAGGTGCTACTAAGTTTTTTAGAAAGAGCTTGATTTCGTTTGTTCCATTTTAGGTGGTGATCTATTTCTATTCCCAGAAATTTCACACTATCTGAAAGCCTTACATTTTGGGAAGAAATATTTAAACCTAGTTTTGGGCTTTACCAAGACAGAAAGTTGCTCGCTCTTCGAGTTGCAAGAGGACATCTGCAGACACTGACATTTGTGTCATCAGCAAAATTGACTATCTTTACATGATCGCTGGTTATATGGGACGAAAAATCGTTTATATAGAGGACGAAGAGGAAAGGCCAATAACACTTCCCTTTGAGATGCCTCCTTGCTCTCAGAACAAACAACCCTCTCGTCCTTTTGAATAGTTACCATCTGTGTTCTATTCGCAAGATATGACTTCAGCCAGAGCAAAGCAGAGCCTGTCACTCCATATATCTTGAGCTTGTCCAGAAGAATCTGGTGATCCAGACTGTCAAAAGCTTTGGACAAGTCCAAGAAAGCTCCAAGAGTGTTTTTGCCATCCTCAAGATTTTCGTAAATATCCCCAATAAATTCAAAGATGACAGGTTCAATGGATCTGTTCTTTAAAAAACCGTGCTGAAAATGGCTTAGCAGATTATGCGAGAAAAACGTCTAAGAGTCGATTACACATTGCAGTTTCAAAGATTTTAGAAAAGGAGGTTATAAGACTGATCGGTCTATAATTCTCAATTTTTTTTTGTATCTCCTTTTTTATAAATTGGAATGACCATTGCTTGTTTTAGCTTCTCAGGGAAAATACCAAATTGTTGATAATTAGGCATAGAGGTAAGCAAAGTTCTGTAATCATCAAGCATGTCATATTAAGAATAAAAATAAATTTGTGGCATATACAAGTTATAACAACAAAATAGGCGTGATCGTCGGCCCCTATAAAAATCCTGGCCGAAAATAGGAACAATGCTGGCCGGTCAATGGACAGGTGGGCCGAAAACTGGTGAAAATCACATATTTGAATATTTTCTTAATTTATGTTATTATTTTAAATCAAAATGGGAATATTTTTTTTGTTTAACCAGAATAAAACACTACATACTGGGGATTTGTTTTTTTTTTGTAATATAAGTTTAATGGATGTATTTAATTGTATAAATACACTCATCAAAAAAATCTAGGGAACAAGAAATATTCGTCTTTTAATTTTTAGACAGAATAACTTTTTTTAAAAAGATACCATATCGGTATTTGTTGAACAAATCTTGTAAAATTTATCATATCGGCTTTTCCAGCAGGCTTTAACAAAATTTAAAAATCTTTTAAAAGTATATTTTGTTCAATTTATAAATGTATTCAGTTGCATCTTGTTCCCTAGAATATTTTGATGTGTGTATATTGGATGATGATTTGGGATGTGGGCCAGATGGCGTGGCGTTCCTGTTTACTTTTCAAAAAATTCCAAATGTGTTTTATCTGAAGTTCTTGTCAGAATATTTAATAAGTCATTGTCAGAAGGTATTTTTCCTGAAAAATGGAAGGAATGTTTTCTTAGGCTTATTTTTAAAGCTGACAATAAAGCAGACTTATCAAACTATCGCTCAATAAGTAAATTGTCGGTTATTCCAAAGGTTCCAAAAGTGTATTGTGACTGAGAAAATCTTCCAATGCTTTAGAAATGTTCTCTCGACTGCTCAACATGGATTCATTAAAGGAAAATCAACTAAGTATTTCTAACCTATATCAAGATAATCTTGTTAATGCTGTAGAATTTGGAACTCAAGTAGATTCCGTCAGCACTGACTACAGTGTGGCTTTTGATAAGGTTGATATATCTATATTTACAAAAAATTAGAGGCCTTGGGTGTTCGGGGGACTTTTTTGGCATGGATAGATAGCTTTCTGGGCAGTAGAGTAGGTACAATACGTCAGAAATTAAAAAAAATTTCATTTCCAATAAATGTCGTATCTGGTGTTCCTCAAAGAGGAACATCTTTCTCCCTTGCTATTTGATTGCTATATTAATGATGTTGAAGATTTTATCCATCACAGTGACATCTTGTTGTATGCGGACAATTTAAAGTTGTATAGGCCTGTTAAGTACATATCAGACTGTAAGCAGTCACAACTAGACCTGAATTGTTTTGCTCTGTGGTGTCACCTGAATGACCTAATCCTTAATTTAAATAAATGCAAAACCATAACCTTCTCTAAGTTCTCTAAATCTCATGCATCAATTTTTTATGAATATAAATTAAATGATCAAGTAGTTGAAAGGGTGGACTCTATTAAGGATTTGGGAGTTACATTTAGACAGGACCTAAGATTTAACTTGCATATTGAGAATATTTGTAATAGGGCAATGAAACGGGATTTGTATTTCGCACCCTCAAAGATTTTAATAATATTTTTACTATAAGGAGCGTTTACTCGTCTGTAGTGAGATCCCTTTTGGAATATGCTACCCCAATTTGGTTACTCCATTATGGGGTCCATATAAATTGTGTTAAGAGAGTTCTGAAACGCTTTCTAAGGCATATTGCGTAAGGTCTGCTACAATGACCTGTTGCGGTTGCTGGGTCTTTCTAGTTTAGAAGGAATTATGATATTTGTTTACTTTTCAAGTTGCTTAATAACCTAATTGACTGACCCCCTTTGTTGAACAGCATTTCCCTGGGTGCCCCTGTGAGACAGACTAGGCAAGTACATCTTTTGCATACTGAGTATCATAAAGTCTGGTTTTTTTTTAAAGATAATTCTCCAAGTCAAAAATCTAGTAACTATGTTGGCAATCTACATAAAAAATTTGAATGCATTGACAAATTTACATTATATTGCCAACATAATGTCATTTTGACTTTTATCTTTAAAAAAAAAACAGATTTTAGGACTAATTATGGTTTTTTCTGCCCTATGGCTAGAATATGCAGAGAAGCTAATCAGCTACCCAACAATTTTGATTTTTTTGGCATGTCTCTGAAAACTTGTAAACAACTGTTAAATGATCTGCAGCGCTAAATGTCAGTGTATTTAAATGTATCGTGAATGTTAAATTTTAAGTTGTTGTGTTTTTCTTTATTATTATAATGTCATATATTTTTGTATTATGTTATTTACTGTAAATGGCTTGTCTGTTAATAAAGTTTATTGTTTATACTG